TTTTAATGGTGGTATTAGTACCTTGTTGTGCTCATTCCATTGGGGGGAGGAAGACTAAGAAATATATTGTCATTCTTTGTTAATGTCGCAATAGTAAAATATATAAGACATTCCTTTGAATATATATATATATATATACATATACATATATATAAGGCAATACATACTATACATACTATATATACTATATATATTTATATAGCTATATATAAGCAATTTATACTATTTATACTAGTATATACATATATAGTTTACAAGAAAGTGCCTTAGATAAAAAAAATTTAAAAAAAATAGCCCGGAACAAAAAAAGCCCGTTTAGGCCCGCGGGCCCGACCCATTTCGCCCAGGACCATGTGGGCTTAGGACCACCGTGGGCCGGTTCTACACATTGGGACCGTGAAGCCCGGGACCGTGAAGCCCGGCCCGCCTAAAGCCCAGGCCCGTTTAGGCCCGTTTGGTCCCGGCCCGGACCACAATACAGCCTTACAGATTTTTTTTCCTCGGGTTTCAAACGTTTCAATAAGTATATTAGAGCATCAAAAATTATTTCGATATCAAGTTATCAACTTCTTGAGATTAAATTATTTATAATAGAAATTATGAACAACTTTACATCTTAAAAAGCTAGAAAAATAGACTTCAATCCTAGATTAAAAATTGGCTTTAGGCCACCAATTTTTTTGAGTCGCCCCTGCTATAATCTACTTTTATAATATACTGTATACACATATAAGACATAATGCATAAAACTAGAAAGAAAGAAAGTATTAATGAATATATTATACAGAGTATAATATATACAAAATAATGTATATTTTGTGTCAATTATAACAAACAAACAAAAGATATAGTGTATATTCCACTATTTTGCCCTTTGGGTTTTCTCGCAGCAATAAGAATGGATTTTCTATCCATTTTTGTATCAGATGGAGTTATCAACCCAAATTAAAAAAATCTTTAATTTACTGGAATCAAAGAATGGAGAAGTACTGGGATGATATAGGGAGATTAGAAAGAATAGATTAGTGGAGACTGAAAAATAAGTTCGTGATTAGGCAATTTTAGCAAAGAAAAAAGTTTAGTAAAAACAAAAAATATGTTATACCTATGAACTTGTGGAAGAGAATGATAAAAATTATTTCTCCACTTAAGCATGGCAAAACAACGTATATTGGAGAGAGTGTGTATTTGATAAGTTTAAAATAGGTTGAATACTCAAAATGATTTGAGTTTCCTATTTAAGTGGCTTTAATGGAGATATTTAAGGGATATGAAAAATTGTATATGATTTTATTAAAAAGTTAAAAATTGTAATAAATGGTATCTTATGTAATTTTCTGAAAGCAGTTGTAATTCTTTTTAATTAATTTTAAGAAGGTTGTATTATGTGTAAATTCCTAAAAAAAGGAAACCATAAAAGTTCGTTCAGCCCCATTTTCGCGCAAAACTTGTAAAAATGACACTAGATAGTCATTCTAAAGGTTGATATTTAGCAATTAGTCCATGTGTCCTGTATTTTAGTTTTCAAATTCAATTTTTCGGAATATAAAGTCCTGAAGCTAAAAAATTTATTTCAAAATTTCATCTGGCTAATCTCTAAATAACATCTTTAAAAATGGCTATTTGTGTACTTTCCCGATAAAACTTCACCAGATCCGCTTTGACCCGCTTCGTTTGCCATCCATACTCTAAATTAGGAATTAAGATGGCCGAAATAAAAGGGATTTTAAGTAGTTTAGTAGAAGAAAATCTCTGCTCGGTAGTTTGTCAAAAGACGTACGATGATGTTGTTCGAGGTGTGTGAGGCAAAACAAGAAAGAGATAGACGAATGAAAATGGCTGTTCTTAAAGCCGCCCCATAAGAAAATTGAACACAAAATTGAAGTCTTCTTCTGAGAATTGCTTTATGCTTTTCCTTCCTTATAAAGGTCCGTTATATAAAATTTGAGTTGATTGATAAATCTACTGACATCCTCATTTCTTATTAGCCAGCAAGAATTCATCTTTGCTGCATATTTTCATATGATTCTACAAATTTGAGCAATTGGGTTCAATATACAGTAGCCTTCAAGTGAAACTAATTTGATTTCATATGTTCTCCGTGGCAGTAGTGGCAGAGTATCTGGTTGATGTTTTGATGTTATTCTACTGTTTAAAGTAATGGGGTTCTCAAATAAGCTTAAAAGACAAGTTATGTTGATTTTATTTACTTTTCTGAGTCAGTAATAGCATCCTAATTACGCAGAGGCGGATCCAATATTTGAACTTTATGGGTTCGGGAACCCACTGAACCCACTGGCCATTTGAGTTACTGGGTTCGAAATTTGATACTTGTACATATGTACATCCGCCCCTACTAGTTGGTATATATGTAAGTTGTGATTAGGAATGGCAACTCAGATTTATGTGAAAAGCCAGAGAAATGGGTACTTGAGTTTGTGGGATGCAGTGTTTAGTCTTCGTATTCGGCGAAGGTTTTCTCTTTGGTCAATGAAGAAAGATCCAGATCTTGAAGCTGCATTACATAGAAACCGTCGATGGATAGTGAATAATCAGATTAAGAACATTGTTATGAGATGTCCTAACCAGGTTGCATCAGTAAAATACCTGCAGAAGAAGTTCAAGACTCTTGATCTTCAAGGCAAAGCTCTAAATTGGCTAAAAAAGTATCCTTGTTGCTTTGTAGTCTACCTTGAGAATGATGAATACTATTGTGGTCTGACTAAAAGAATGATGTTTTTGACTGAAGAGGAAGAATCTGTTAAGGATATGCAGGAACCAATATATGCTGAGCGATTAACAAAGTTGTTGATGATGAGCCGTGATCAAAGGATGAATGTTATGAAACTTAACGAGTTGAGGAGGAATTTTGGATTTCCTGATGATTATTTGCTCAGGATTGTACCCAAGTACCCTCAAATATTTAGAGTTGTTAACCACACCGGGAGACGGAGTTCAATGGAGATTGAGCTCACAGCCTGGAACCCTGATTTAGCTGTTTCTGCAATCGAAAGAATGGCTAAAAAGGATGGTCGAGAGCCAGGTTTCCCGTGCTCTTTGCCTCCAACTTGGGTCAAATCATGGGAAAGATTTGAAGATTTTAATTCTGCTCCATATATTTCACCTTATTTGGGACTTGATGGTTTAGTGGATGGTTCAAAGGAAATGGACAAGAGAACAGTGGGGGTAGTGCATGAATTACTGTCATTGACCTTGTGGAAAAAGGCATCAATTTTCAAATTGGGCCATTTTAGAAGGGAATTATGTTTACCAGAGAAATTAAATGTTTTTCTGCTCAAACATCCTGGAATATTCTATGTTTCTAACAGATACCAGATCTATACAGTTCTCCTTAAGGAAGCATATAATGGGTCAGAACTGATCGAAAAGGACCCTCTTGTTGTTGTCAAGGAGAAGTTTGGAGAATTAATGCAGGAGGGACTCCATGAATATAATCGCAGACATTATCTATTGAATTTAGAAAAGAAGAGGAACAGAGGCATGATAACACCAAAGCCAGAGAAAAGGAGGAGCCAAAGCGACGAAACATCATCAGAACAAGATAAGGAAGGAGGAGATTTAGGTGGCATATTTGATCCGGAAGAGAGGAAGCGATTTTACAAAGTTCTGTTTGATGACAATGCTCCGTAAGCAACGGAAGTAAACATATCCATATTAGCATCAGTGATACAGGTTTATCAGTATTACATGCAGATCTTATCATGTCCATAGGCAATAGAGCCTTAGGGAGTTATATGTTGCTATGAGAACCAAAATTTATAAAGTTAAATTTCCTTTGCTTTTGCCATATATACTGATTAATCTGGATTATTTATGTTATCTCCTTATGTCTCTCCCTGTTTCCCTACCCAAGAAAGGCTTAGAGGATGACCCAAAATAAGCAGTTAACATCAACTCCTTTCTTTCGTTCCTTTTTTTAATTTGTTTTCGGATAAAGATTGGCCACTTCTGCTTGATGATATATATCAGCAGAATTCTGCTCAATTTATTTTGTACACCTGTCTTTTTGCTGTTGAAAGGTCATGAGACTTGAGGACTGAATTTTCTCATCTCAGGAAACAGAGGGATAAAGAGATTATGCCACTTACATAGTTCATTTCACACCATCTTCATATGGTATACTCTTCATGTCATTCTTAATGTAACATATCTTCTTCTTCTTTTCTAAGTAAAAACTCGGATCAAGTTTGAAATGTGGGTATATACAGCAAAGGTATAGCCATGTGATTTGTTGTGGATTCTTCATGTAGGATTCCACTACTTCAGCATTCTTGAGCACCTTTAGATGTAAAAGTTGAGGCCTTTTCAATTTTGTATTTACCAAAACTAGGGCTATGACAGACACTATCCAGAAGTTCTACTTTACTGATCAAACAGAAAATGTGATCTATTACTGTGGGCTGAAGTATTTTTCTGTTGAGTTTGTTTTGGGGGGTTTCAAAGTTTGTTACTTCTCTCAGTTTAGTTAGATGTAGATATACTCTTATATATTTATTCAAAGAGTTCCTTTTAAAAGAAAAGCGTAGGTTTGAACGTTGTTATTTTAATGTTGATTCGGTGCTTTAGTTCTAATCAAAAGATTCTTCTTGAAACATCCTAGCTCCTAAATCATAAAGAAGATGGCACAAGTGCAACAAGAGGACCTAAGTCTAATATTGTCAAAGACATTGATGCAACCTTCTTGTGCTGGCATCAAATATCCTTGCTATTTGAAATCTATCCATTAATGATGCTTTTTTTCCTGAATAGAAGTATAATATCTGAATTTGTGCTATTTATCCTCCTCAGACTATCTTAACTAGGTATGTTGTAGCAGCATATTGCATAAAATTTCTTACTTAAGGCATTGAGAATAATGAAAAACCATTACTGAATGGATCCATTTTAGCATTTATCATTGTTGAATCTGAATCTCCTCTTGAAAAGCTTGACTTGCCTGCCAGCAAGATCATGTGCATTTCCCGTCAAAGGTCTGATTTTCCTCTTCTTAATACTGTAGGAATGTATAAATTGACAATACATGAATAGAATGGAAAGAGGAAAGAAGATTGAACTGATAAGGAGATTGGTTATAGCGCCTCCTGCCCATTCCTAGCAAGATTGCATTTCCCGATAATCATCCTTAGCGTTCTCCCGTTCCTCTGCCGGCGGGTGGGTTTTAGCTCTGGGCACTGGGAAAGAGGTGAGGTGGTTATAATGAATTTGAACTCCTTGATGCCTTTTCCTTCATTCGGTTGTTTGCTTCTTCTATATTTTATGTATTTCATATACTAGTAGACTTATAGCCTGGTTGGCCAAGCTAGAAAAATCAGCTTATTTTTGAGTAACTTTTTTCCCAAAAGTGTTTTTCGAAAAGTACTTTTGGAGAAAAACAATTTGTGTTTGGCTAATCAAATTAAAAAGTTTTTTGAGCAACAATTTGTGTTTAGCCAAGTTTTTCAAAAAGTGCTTTTAAGTATTAAATTACGAATAAGGAAATAAAGTGATTTACTTAATAGTTAATATTATATAAGTAGATAAATAATCACAAATATTATTATTAAAGACAACAATTAAGTTTTTTATTTTATTCAAGTAAAATATAAAAATAAAACTGAAAAGTACTTTATTTTTTCAAAATGATTTAAGTATATCAAAAATTCATTCAACAAATATGAAAGTTTACCCCAAAAGTCATTATATATTATTTATTAGTTTAAACTAAGATTGTTTTGGTATATACAACATTGTGCTAAGGGTATTTTTTATTGGAAGAAAATTCAAGACCGCTTCTGCTTCTGGGAGAAGCTATTTTTTTCTTCTTCTCAAAAACTGTTTTTGCTTTTCCCCAAAAGTGCTTTTTTCCCCCAAAAGCTTGACCAAACACCTCAAGTTAGAGAAAAAAGCACTCTTTTGAGAAAAAAACACTTTTGGCCCTGGAAGAAGCTTGGCCAAACAGGCTATAATACCCTTATAGGAATAGTGATAAATAGGAACTTTTCGTCGAGACCTAGAAAGTATGGGGAAATTAGGAGCCTGACTTTCTCTCTTTCTTTGCTGTGCAGGGAAAGGGGAGGGTTGGATGAGTAAAATTTTGTTAGGGACAGGGAATGAAAGCTATAGTTTTCTTGTATTCGCCACTAAAGACTCCTTTGAGTCTTGTTATCCAGACTTCTGTTCACCTTGAGTATCACTTCCAATATTGGACAAGGGCACTCCTTTAAAATTCTCAGACATAAAAACCATTCTCAAACTTGTCAATTTGATGCTTAACCATATCTGATTTAACACCTGGGTTTAGATAACATTGTTACAAAGACTTTGAGCTTACTATCTTTCCATTGTTACAAGTGTCTGTTGTGAGATGGTAACTGCGAGTGACCCCTATATGCTTGTTTGGTCAAACAAGTAATTACCGTCAGAAAGCCGTTACATATAATTCTGTTTATAAGAATAATAACATGGCTATTTATCAGAACTCAGAAAAAGAAAAGAGAGGATAACACGGTCTCTGACCATAATATAGATTGGCTGTTACTATTGACTCTGGGATATGAAGGGTTTCTACGTGTTATTGATTATATGGGGGTTTTCCGTCAACCGGGTAATTTGGCATGCTAAATGCATATGTAGATTGAGCTGATCTTCCTTTTTCCAGTGGGAGAGCTTTGTCAATTAAGTTCTACATCTGTATTTTTCGTTACTGTCAAACTACAGATATTTTGGTCCAAGGACTGCACAAAGCTGCGTGCATAATTGTATAATGTACTTTTTGTGTTCCTGTGAATATTTTCTTTTGAAGTTGTTTACACTTTTGGTCAAAACAGGAACAAATACGATCACCTAGTGGAAATCATATGTGCTCTAAACGATTGGGAATTCATCTGAGATAGAACCGCTGACATTGATGGCCATTAATGAAAGCCGTATCCTCTTTTACCCAAATTTACAGAGCCATTGGCTATAAGCTATCCTTGGATTAGAATATTCATCACATCTTGCTGCCACTGTTGAAGTAACAAATAGAATTCCAGAAATGAGGTTTGGATGCGACTGTTGGATTTTGATCTCCAGCCTCTCTTTCAAGATGTTAAAAGAAGTAATCTCCTCTGCCTAGTGCTATAAACATCAAGAGGAATGCATAATTTAGATTATCTAGCCAGTGCTATTCCAATTGGAGATGATTGTTTTCGTTAGTAAGAGTTCAGTACATGATTTCTTAGCAGAGTCTAAACAGCTGTATGTAGTCCAATATTTGACCATATGCCCTTTTTTTCTCTTGGAAACCTCCCCATTTCATTGTTAAATTTATCTTGAATATTTTACATTGTGATTATGTTACCTATCCTTATCCTCCTAGTCCTGTACTTGAGCAAATAAAGTTCTGTTCCCATATTGGAAAGAACTCTGTTCAAAATGACATTCCGATATAACCAAGTTTTGCTTCATTTATAGCTTGTTTGGATGGTTGTTACTTGTTGTATTGTATTGTTACTTTAAATATTACCTCCATTCCAATTTATTTGAACCTGTTTGACTGGACATTGAGTTTAAGCTTCTCATTAAGCGTGGAATATATTACCTCCATTCCAATAGGTTCACATAAACTGGAACGGAGGGAGTACAATGTTTGTTTTGATTGTTTTTTAAATTTTATTATATCATATCATAAAATATATCATTATGTAACGACCAAAAGTGTCCCTTTATAGAACAACTAATTTGGTGTGATCTCATTATTTCCTCTCTTTTTTTCTCATCTTGCCCTTCCATATTATTAAATAATCCTATTTTATATAATAATTCTACCTCATACCTTACTTTTTCTTTATAATATTACAAATTTATTCTCCATCTTGTTGGTGCATAACATTATAAAACATTGGAAGACAATACAATCTATCCAAACATTGTATAGATCAAAACAATACAATACTATACATAACAACCATCCAAACAAGTTGTTATAATAATCCTATCTCCTAGACTTGTAAATAAATTTGCAATTCTAAATTACAGTTGTCGCCATTAAAACTCAAACAAAACAAGGGTAGAGGCAAGTGAATAGGTCAAGAAACTAGCAAAGCAAGCAATTTTAATTTTATATGTACAGATATAGCAGCATCCAAAACAAAGAAACAAAAATATGGATAGGTTTTTTTAACACAATATTGATTTTCATTTCCAAATCTTTCATTACATTAAAGACAACCTAAAACACCACATCCCAAGTCCAACCATTAAACCTCTTCAAAACACTAACCAACATCCCAGAGATAAAAAAGACCTAAGCCCTTTCACCCCTAATCCGCCTAGCCAACTGAATATCCTTAGGCATAATAGTAACCCTCTTAGCATGGATAGCACACAAGTTGGTATCCTCAAACAAACCCACCAGGTACGCCTCTGCCGCTTCCTGAAGCGCCGCTACGGCACTGCTCTGGAACCTCAAATCAGTCTTAAAATCTTGTGCTATTTCTCTTACCAGTCTCTGAAATGGGAGTTTACGGATCAGAAGTTCAGTGCTCTTCTGATACTTACGGATCTCTCGAAGTGCCACCGTACCTGGACGGAAACGGTGGGGCTTCTTAACTCCACCGGTTGCCGGAGCTGATTTTCTGGCAGCTTTTGTTGCTAGTTGCTTCCTGGGTGCCTTTCCTCCAGTGGATTTACGTGCTGTTTGTTTTGTTCTTGCCATTTTTAAAGGATTTTTTGCAAGAGGGGAAAAGGTTGAGAATGGTGTGAAAGTTGTGATTTTGTGTGGGGAAGGAGTTGAAGGGTGAGTGAATATATAGGGAAAGAGGATGTGTGGAATGTGGAGGGAGGAAGATGAAATTTTGAGACTTTTGGGGAAATTTTCGGCGCGGGTGGAAATGGACCGTCCGATTTTAGAGGAAATGGATGGTGTAGATTGGGGTTATACTTTTGACGCGGATCGCGATCCTGGTGCTTTTTGACGCGGATCGCGAATTTATATTTTCTAATTAATTGATGTGTGTTGGGAGCTAATGACCAATCATAACTTCAGTGGGAGTTATTACTTTAAGTAACTTTTGGTAATCACTTATAATATATTCGAAACATTAACTAATCCACAACAAACAACTCTTATAGTTTCGAATCTGCCAAGCTGATCTATAGATAGTTATCTTTTATTTATATTCTTTTACTTTTAGCTTGAACGTTAGCAATTAAAAAGAAAAAGATGGTGGTCCCAAGAAGAAACTAACCTACTTGTATTAATCGAGAAAAAAATATTATTAACTATTTTTTTAATATTTAAAACTTTAAAATCAATAAAACTTTGCAATATTTATATTTTCTTATTAAATTGTGTAGGAAGTTCACTATTTAGAACTTCAAAAAAATTAATTAAGATACCTTATATAAATTATTTTCTGGTTTGACCAACTATTTAATCTTAATCTTAATTAAAAAAAATTAATTGTTGAATATAATTTTTAAATATTATAAAAATCGATGAAAAGAAAAATGTTGTTCAAGTCGGACGGAGTTCAAAAATATCTATATTGTCTATATCCCCAATGAAAAATAAATAAATTATTTTTAGTATTGGTTATGAATGATTAAGTCTTTGAATTAAATAATTAGCAAAAGAATTCAACTCAATTCTTTTCGAGATCATCATGTGAGTAAAATTATTTTTCAAGTTGATAAACTCTCAACATACATAAATTTATTTTTAGATGAAGAGCATGCAGTGAAAGAAAAAAGAAAATAGAGCAAAATTAATTATATTATAGTATTAATTTAATTTGGTACTTGTTTTCAGTATTAAATAACAAAAATAACAATAATTTTCATAAAAAAGCTCCCGCATGAATTCTCAGAAATCATAATAAGTCATATAAGAACTTTTGTTGAGGCAAATTCTTTTATTTATTGGACTAGCTAAATTGGACCAACATTCATTATTTTTAGGTTTTCTTTAATTTTGTTCAATAACACATGAACGTAATAATGGTTATGTAATCTTTTAAAATTATATATCCATGAATATAGGGTACACGCGCAAAGCGCGTACCCTTAGACTAGTACTATATTAAAATTAAGAGCACGAAAGCCCTTAGGAAATGTCATTCACCTTTTTTACCCTTTGAAATTTGATTTCATATTAGACAAAATAGTCATTTAATATTTCCTAATATCTGAGAATAAAAATTTAATTATTTTTCCTATATTTAGGAATAAATAATTTTACCCTTTAAAAATAACTTTCAGATTGGACAAACTTGTAAACTTATAATTTAATTAATTTACTACTAATATTTAGGACTAAATTAAAATCAACTAAAATTTAGGTTATTAAGTTTTTTTCATTATTTGAACTATGCACAAACTCCTAATAATTAGGATAATATGTAAAATTAACTATAATAACTTTTCTTTTAATCTATAAACACTTTAACGTTGAATACTTCTTTAATTTCGGTACAGAATATCAGTTTACACTTGAAATTAAATAACGATTTCGTTATGAGATTAATTACATCTCTATGATGAAGCTAACGTAATTAGGGCACTGCTTATCGGGCAGATAGGGCGGTTATTTACTCTTAATGGTTCGGCTTATTGGTTATCGACTTTTAAATGTATTAATCCGCTAGCCACCCAATAAGATATCGGGCGGATTGATATCGATTAGCTATTATCGGACGATTATCGAACGGTTTATCGATCAATTTACTTTGCATGTATTCCCACCATTTTTCACTATTACCTTCAATGGTCATAAAACACAAGTCACTGCTTGTTAGTCATCGATGGACCTTAACTTAATTCAACTGGTGGATAACTGCAGCACATTGGATGAAATGCATGATCTCTGGAAAGAACTAGATGGATAAATCATTCCCCTTGAGGCCAGCCACTAAAAAAAGATAAAGAAAATGGAGCAACAAAAAAAAAAGCTTCAAAGTTTTTTTTTATATATATATTCTTAACGGGTTAATGGTTTATCCGATAAGAAAATTGAATAATTTCTCCCCAAACTGATAAGCCGTTATAATAAAATTTCAACATGTTCCCCATCCGTTAAATCGATAACCCGATACCAATAAGCCATTAAGCCACTCTTGCGATTTGATTTTCAGTTTCGATTCGGTTTTAAGCACCCCTAAACGTAATGCTACGGTTAAAATCTATTAATAATAATAGCACCAACCTTTGTTCAAAAATGAGTTCAAAACTAATATTTTTAAAGATATAACTTTATGAATGAAAACTATTTGCAATATTCTAAGTAATATTAAAGCTCTTTTCATTTATACATGAATATAATAAAATAAATGTAGGGTTAAAATTAGAAGAAGCCATTATAATTTTCTAATGTAAGTAGAAAATTAAAACACAACAGCAAGAAAAATCAATAAAAGTTTTAGAAAAATAATCTAGCTATGTAAAAATTTCCTCAGAAATATTTTTCACGATATAGACAATTAAATATATTATCTTGAATCAAATTGGAGTAACTTTTAAAAAGTTTCAATTTAAATGAGAACTAAATATAAAAAAAAAATCATAATATAGACAATTAAATCAAAGTTAGTTGTAAGAAGTTTCAATTCAAATTAAATGACCGACTATAGAAACACAAATTAAACACTACATTTGTGACAATTGATAAATAATAAATTCTAAATATGATAGTCACATGCATGAATCATATTGTAGGCATATAAATTTTATGAAAATTAAATTCATAAAATAATTTGGACTATATTTAAAATTAAATATATTTTGGTCCAAATAAATATTATGGCCTAATATAATTGGATCAATTATATAAGTCCAATATATATAAATTAAATAAATAAGTCTTAATCCATTGAGATATCTCATTTAATAGGGCTAAAGTGATAGCTCACTTCATTAAGCCCAAGATGCCATCTTCCTAGAGGCCCAGTTTGGTGTCACGTGTCATATGACGTGGCACGCCACGTTAAGCGGAAGAGCCAATAGGATTATGCCACGTGTCAAAATGACAAGCATGCCAAATCACATTAAAAGGCTAATGAAATCGCGTCACGTGTGCAAGTGACATGTTCTGGTCAATCAAATGCGGCCTTGTCACACTTCAATTTGATTTGTCGAAAAGAGTTTGTCCTTATCATAATTCTTCCCTTCCATAACTATAAATAGGGGTCTTCATAACCCAGAAAAGACACCAAAAGTTATAACAAGAAGCAAGAAAGAGCTCGTGGATCAAACTCTGCAAATTCCTCTACAAGTTTCAAGCTTCAAGCAATCAAGTTCAAGCTCAAGAACAAAGAACGAAGAACAAATCAAGATTCAAGGATTACGAGTTCAAATCAAAGTTCGTGCTAGCTAAATCCAAGATCATCGTACGTGGCAATAAATATAGATTCAAGATCAAACTCAAAGGCCCCTGAATTTATTTACTATTGGAAAGAAGAATCAGAGGATTCATA